GTTATTGAATGATGATGACGAATATTTTCAAGCCAAAAGAAAAAAACACTATAATAAAATTATTAAAGAATAAAGTTAACAACACATTATTAAGCGTACAATTTTTTTTTACAAATAATTAATTTTTTTATAAAAATAATTAAATATAATAGAAGATTGAAAGTTCAAATCTCTATGGTTATAAATAGAATCTTACAACACAAATGTATTTGCATAATCACACTACTTTTTTTGTTATTAATTAAATTTATATAATTTTTATTGAAATTTACATAAATTTAATAATTTATATGAATTTTGTAAAATACAAAATAAATTAGAAATCATGTTTATCCGTCTAGTTAAAAAAAAATTGATGTAGAAAGACTTAATACACATATAAAAAAAGTAGCAGTATATTTAAAATGTTAGACACATTTTATATAAATTTAACATTAAATCATAATGATGATTATATTTTCTTGAATAAAAAATCGCTTCACGAGTCTAACTCACTTTTTACTAAAATTTGTTTCAAGTAAAAAAAACAACATTTCACTATTTTATATAATTTTCTATTATATTTATGTTTTAGATTAAAAGTGTATTAGATTTCTTGTTTTTGTATTTAAAGACTTTTGATATAGCCATCAAACTAATCTTTTATTATAATACTATTTGATAGATTTTAAATTTTATCACAAGTTTGTGGCTTGTAAATATGTTACTTTATTCATCATGATTTAGCTTATCTATTCTATGTTTATTAATTTAGGAGTGTTTGGATAGAAGAGCTTATTTATGTAGTACAAAAAAAAGCCGGTGTTCCTTCCAGCATGGGACAGTCTCTGATAACACTGCCCTAAATAAGTATAGTGATAAAACTAAAAGTAAGAGATTAAAGGATTATTAAAATGTAAATTGTACAAGGTTAAGAAGCCATGAAAAACAGTGACATAAGTGGACAGAGTTAGCAGAGTCACGTGTCAGTGTCTGATTGGGTTGAAGCCAAGGTAAAAGAGCAAAGACAGTCAAAGCAAAGACTGGATGCGTACAGTCAAAGCAAAAAAACTGTCACAGTCCAATGCTTTGCTGGCAATTTTTTCTTAAATTGGGCCACCAAATGACAAATAAATTAAATTCAAACTTAAATCAACCGAATTCAAAGTTAAAAATATTAAAAGTATTTATGGTTTTTATATTTTTACATTGCTTGTATTTGTATCGTGTGCCGCACCTTTTATTGATTCATTCACACATCCTCGTTGAGTTTCCATAGACTTTTGTGCCTTTCTTGCTTCGTGCGCAATAACCTATTCTTTTTTTTCTTTATTTAATTACACATTTCAAAGACCATTTTATCCCTTTTCACCTTTTATCAATAAAGGAAAGCCATTATTATATACTCCTACACTAATTAGTATGATATCAAACCTTTGCCTATGTTGGAAATTTTCTTTTTGACTAAAATTGCTTTGTGTTTCTCCGTTCAGTATTGAAAGCCAAAAGTGATTCTCAAAAAATAAAGCATTAAATAAAGTAATTTACTTATTTGTTCAATGATTTTATGCTCTTCAACTACTTGTTTGTTCAAAGTGGTTGTATTTTACCTGTGTGGATGATAAATACTTATACAACTATATTATTACTATACATTACTGTAATTCATCTAATTTCATGAAAAATATTCATCTAGTTTTACAAGAGTATTTAAAACTATTACCCAATATAAGTAAAAAATAGTAATAGCACATTAAACTTCACCAAAAAAATAATAATAACACATTAAACTTCTAGCTGGATAGCAATTAAAGTAATAAGAGATGGAAATTAAATACTTGTAATGATAAAATTTGTTGCAACGTTATCAAATATTACTATTTATTTGGACTTAACGCTATGAAATATGAGAATTAAGAAATTTTATAAAAAAAAATTAAATAAGAAAGGAGACTAAAAATATCTTTATAAGATTCAACTTAGTTACCTGAAAAAAAATTATGTTTAGAGAAGAAAAATTCCAACAACAACTCAGTTGTATTGTGAAATTACAAAACTTCACATTTTCATGGTCAAAAAAGATGTACATGAGTTGTGATATACACACACAAACAAATTGATTCTTATGTTTTATTTTATGGAAAAGAGAGATGTAGTTTCTAATTTAGTTTATACATTAATTCATAAATATAATATTATTATTTGATACAGTAGAGTTTTTAAAGAGTTTATAGATAAAGAGACACTCTTTATTATATAAATTAGTTTTGTAGATACGTGTTAGATTTAAACTCTAATTCTAATTCTAATATGATATCTGATTCTATGGATTGGATCATGAATTGTCCATCCTTTATATTTACACACTAAAACTAATTATAAGATCCTCTATATAAACTCTCATTTCTTCAATATATCTTTTCGCATCATTTTACAAATCAGTTTTATAGTAATGAATTAAGTTTTGATTCACTCCCAGTGTGTGCTCTTCACGTGCTATCAAGTTCCCTTGCACCAAACAAATTTAAAGGTACACAATCTCCTAAACATGAGTTGTATATGAACGAAATACTTTATTAAGTTTGTATCGAGAGCTGTGTGGAAGAGAGAAAAATTAACTAAGTTAAATGAGAAAATGTGTGTAAATTAATAGAAGAAGAGGGTTTGGGGATTAGGAATTTGAGGTTATTCAACATAACTTTATTAGAAAAATGGATGTGGAAAATTAAAATGGAAAAAAGGGATTTGGTATTATGCTTTGATAAATAGACATGGGATTAATTTTGAAGACTTGAACTCGAGGACTAACAAATTTTCAAGTTGGTATAAGGATATTAGTAATTTAAATTTAGGAGAAATCGAGGTCACAAATAAATATTCAATGAAAGAGGCTTATAAGAGCTTATTGTCGATAGTCATATCTGTTTAGTAAAAATCCTTTTTAATGTTTTGAAGATAACAAACTCTTGTGTGAATATAATTAAGAGTATGATATTATTTATTATTTGATGTGTTTTCTTGAATGAATATAAATAAGACAAGTTCATTCATTCTCACTCAATATATTATACTATGGTATAATCCTTAAAAGAATAACATTCTTCTTTATGAAAGAAAATAAAAAAAGTAATGAAGGATACAAATATAGATGATACAAGCACCAAGGATACAAGTTGTGAGGATATAAACACACCGAGGATACAAGTGTCGAGGATACTTGTATGGTGTAGTGCTTCAGACACCATATGTCGCTTATAAAGTACTAATCTATTATTGTTATCATTAGGAGAGTTTTGTTTAGTGTACGAAGTTTTATTATAGTTGTATGCTTGCAAAGAGTTTTTTTGAATTGCAAAGCAACATATGGAGATTTTGTCAATTGTTTTTATGCTCTATCCATATTGAATGCTCTGATTTTTCCTCAAAGATCTTCTAATTATGACATGGAGTGCATTATGTTAAAGAAGTTGATGTCAAGCTCTTGTAGCATTTTGTTTTGGCTGATGTCGAATTCTCTAGTTGGTGCCAATCTATTGAGATTTTTTTTCGTGGGCGAATTAAATTTGTACTTATGATTCTAAATATATCGTATATTCAAATGTCTTTATATCCTTCACAATTGGTGTTGATACAATTTGTTTGCTGAAACATGTTTTGGTGGCAACATAATGATAAGCTGAATTTTATGGTTGTTTAGTGTTTATTAGTCTACTGCTTATAAGGAGAATTTGGAATTGTTTTTACATACTTAGTCTGACAATGTTAGGTTGAATGTTTTTGTCTTGTAATTTGGTGTTCTCATTCTACAACATATCTTTTGCTAAAATGAATCTTTTAATGAATTCTTTTGTATTTTTTTTTTAAAATTGATTAAGAGGTCGAATATTTACACCGTCCCAAAGTATGAATAATGCTTTATTAAAATCGACTAAAAGATAGAATATTTACATAGTATTTTAAGGATGAGTCAAATGCAGACAAAATATTTTATTAATATCAGTTAAAAAAATTAGATATTTACACATTTCTTAAAGCATTAAACATGAGTCATTTATGAATAAAATATGTTCTTTGAGATGAGTTAAGAGGTAAAACATTCATATTATCTTCCAAATATAAATATCGTAATTGCGAAATAATTCTCTATCATCAATATTAGTTAAGAAGTCGAGGTTGAACATTTTTAAAATAATCACTAAATTGTAGATTTTAAAATAATTTTATTTAAAAAAATAAAAATAGTAAATATTTAAGAATTGTATATATGTCAAAATTGATGTGTTGATAGTTATAAAAATGTAAAAAGTATGTAAATAAAAAGGTGAGTAGTGGTTGATTAGCATAAACATAGAAAGGGAAAGTTAACGGCGACAGATAAGATGAATGCACGTGTGGTGCGCGAGCCAAGAGAGTCTCATTGACCGGCTACAGCCCATACTTTTCCGGTTATCCATTTTCCCAACAAAACATTTATTTTATTTTATTTTCTTCTGCTTTCTTGTCGACCGAGAACAACCAACCATACAAAAACACTACCATTCGCGTTTAACAAACCAAATTTGGTTTTTCTTTTTCTTTCTCCTCTTTCCTTCATTAATTTTCCATTATTTCCATTAATCCTTAACTGTTCATTCTCTATTATTTCTCTTCAATCCACTCACCCATCTCGTTTCAACTATTTGTCAGGTTTTTTTCTTCTTTGTGTTTTCTACAGTACCAAACACTGGTCCGCACTGTTTCTTCTCTCCTAATTCTTTTCCTTTTTCTTTTTTTTGTTTTCATTATTATATCTTCATCATTTGAGATGTGATTTTCATTATTTTCTTTTTTGACCAATAAAGCCATTTTTCTACAGTGAAACCCATGTTCATGTTCTCTCTCTTTTCATTTTCACTTTTTTCTCACACCTTGTAATGTAGTTACTAGTTATGTCACTACCCTTTCAAGAGTTCTTCTCATTCAACTGATTCCAGAGTCTTGGGTAGCTTTCTAGGTTTAAAAGTTTTTTTTTTGTTGGGAAAATGCCTATGTATCAGCCTTCTATGGTTGTGGGTTTTGAGGGTGGTGGTGATGGTCAGATTCTAGATCTGGACACCGCCGTGAAAGATGGTGTTTTGGGCGGTGGTGGCGGGGTTGTGGGAAGTGGTGTTGTTGGTGGTGAGAAATTAGATCTGAGAAAAATGATTCAAGAGCTTGAGTTATGTGAAGTACCAAGTGTTTTCATTTGTCCAATTTCTCTTGAACCAATGCAAGACCCTGTTACACTTTGCACTGGACAAACCTACGAGAGGAACAACATTCTTAAATGGTTTAACCTAGGACACTTGACATGTCCCACTACTATGCAGGAGCTTTGGGATGATTCCATCACTCCAAACACAACGCTTTACAGACTCATTTACACTTGGTTCTCTCAGAAGTATTTGTTGATGAAGAAACGGTCTGAAGATGTTCAAGGAAGAGCTTCTGAGCTTGTGGAGACGCTCAAGAAGGTGAAGGGTCAAGCTCGTGTTCATGCTTTGAAGGAACTTCATCAGGTTGTGGCTTTTCATGCTACTGCTCGTAAGTCTGTGATTGATGAAGGTGGTGTTTCTGTTTTGTGTTCTTTACTTGGTCCTTTTACTTCATATGCTGTTGGTTCTGAGGTTATTGGTATTCTTGTTAGTTTGACACTTGATTCTGAATCCAAAAAGAATCTTATGCAACCTGCTAAGATTTCGTTGATGGTTGATATCTTGAATGAGGGTTCAATTGAGACCAAAATCAATTGCACGCGGTTGATCGAATCGTTAATCGAGGAGAAAGATTTTCGGTCCGAGATTATCTCCAGCCATAGTCTATTGGTTGGTTTGATGAGGCTTGTTAAGGATAAGAGACATAGCAATGGAATCTGTCCTGGGTTAAGCCTCCTCAAAACAGTGTGTTTCTATAAAGAAGTTAAGATTTTGTTAGTTAGCATTGGTGCTATTTCTCAATTAGTTGAATTGTTGTCTGGCATGGATCATGATTGTTTGGAATTAGCCCTTTGTGTTTTGGATTCGCTGTCATCGATACCCGAAGGCAGAGTTGCTTTGAGGGATTGTGTCAACACGATACCTATCATGGTGAGATTTTTGATGAGGATCTCGGAAACCTGCACTCAGTACGCGTTGTCAATTTTGTGGTCTGTTTGCAAGCTTGCGCCCGAGGAGTGTTCGGCGATTGCCATCGACGCAGGGCTTGCTGCAAAACTTCTTCTAGTGATTCAAAGTGGTTGCAATCCAATATTAAAACAACAATCCGCCGAGCTTTTGAAACTGTGTAGTTTGAATTATTCAGATACTATCTTCATTTCCAAGTGCAAGCTTACAAGAACCATCCAATGACACTGGATTATGGCGGTGCCGATAATTTTGTATATTCCAAAGGAGCAAGATAGTAAAGGTTAGCAGCTTCTCAGATCACAGAACTCCAATAACTCCCAAGATGTGAGAAAATGGGATTGAGGTGCAAGTCTCTCCTGTATATATTTTTTAGTATTTTGATTCCAACAATTGATTTGATTGATGAATGAAGAAGAATCATAACATAATGTGGAAGTTACAATAAGCCTCATGAAGAAGATACTTGAATTCTTTATTACTGCTTTTGGGGTTTGGTTATATGGATGTAGAAGTAATGATGTTGTTGTTGGATTGTTGGATAAAGATACTTGTTAGGAGAGTTATCATCACACATGAATCAAAGATGGAGCTTGCAATTTCAATTGTAATTGTTGAGGAGTTGCATTGCTCCAAGCCCTTACATTTTCATTGTATCTTCTTCTTCTTCCACTTTTGATCTTTTTAGAGGCCTCCAATTTTCCATTAAAAGAAATATTGGGAATTTTGCTTTTGATCTCAAAAAAAAAAAACATGTGTAAAGAGACACTGGAGAGCCTGTGAAAACCTTCAATTTTTATGTGTACAATGGAATTGAAAACAACTATTTCATTTTTCATTTTATTAAATTATTCTGCACCTCAACATTTCAAATTGTGATATTGGTTTTGTATTATCAATTCCTTGACATTCATTGTTCTTTAAAGTGTTCGAGTTTCGATCCTGAGCCAAAAAGTCTTTGACTAGACTTTACTTACTTCTTGGGTGTATTTGAGGTCGTGTAAAGTGAGTTACATGACCCATAATTTGTCACGGTTAAACTGTGACTGAATATGCTCTCAAACATTGTCATAGATAAATCGTGGTTGAATAAAGTTACTATTTGTTTTTGTTTGTCATGATTCAACTGCCGTTAACCTACATCTGACATTCAAAAACTGTTTTTGTTTGTCATGATTCAACTGCTGGTAGACCTTCATAAAACTCGACACGGCTCTGCCCTTGCCAATCTCGTTGTTAATCTACATTGGATCTTCAAAAACTTGACACGGGTCTGTCTTTACGGATCTCATTATATTCAGGTTTCCTTCCTCGAAAACTAGAGGTTTAAAACAAAAGTGCCCCTTTGGTGATGTTGTTATTGAAATGACCTATGAAAGGAGGGAACAAAGTGAAATTTTTAGGGTAGAAGAGTGGAAGACCATTCACCATATATGGTCAAGTTTACAGTGTCTTTATGGATGACTAGACGTTCTTGCTAGCGTGTATACTTTTCCTTTTCCTTTTGTAGTAGCATTTAAGGACAAGACTCAATTTAAGTATTCACTGAATGAGTGGTTGATTGAAAAAGATAGATGAGAAAGTGTAGAGCTTATAGTAGCTTTCAAGAAATAGGAACGTTGAATTGTTGTTTGGTCTTAGGAATACCTACAAATCACAAAACATCTTTGTCTAAATGTCTAAGCAAATAATGCTACTAAGTAGGATAAAGGTGAGTCTAAAACTAAAATAGCCATATGGGCAAATGGTGGTAGAGACGTAGAGTAGGAGTCTTGTTGATCATAGACATATTTAGGGCAAATTAGTATCTTCTTCTTGTGAAAAATGGTTATATGTCTCTTTCTTTTTATTGTGACATTTCCAACAAATTCATTTGAGTTTTTATCTATATAGGAATACAAGAGTGAAAATCTTTGAGGTCATAATGGTCATAAATCCTCTTTTAATTTCATATTTCCTCTTCAGTTTCTTCCGGTTTGCAATTGTGAGGGATCAAACCGTAGTTCTCTCTATCAAATCTAGCGTCAATCACCACTAAACTAACTAACGATTGATAGTTCAAATTCACATTTTTATATATAATATTTTTCCACATTTTATTATATTATGTAGTACCTTTTTTTTAGCCCTTAAGAATATACTTTCTTTATAAGAGCATTAATGGATTTGTACTTACGCAAACCTACTACGATCATAACTTGGCTTTTATGCTCCTCCAATTTTAAGGTGTACTACTACAAATCATGTTGATTTTTCATTGTTTCTACTTAAAAAGAACATGGAGATTTTTTACTTCAACTTCTTTCTATCCTTTTCCTCCCAAACTAATGTTGTGACGGTACAAAATTCATTCAAACAAATTTAGACACTGATATGACTAACTACGATTCAAGTACATTTGATTCATAATTAAGACATGCTAGCAAATCGGTGGGTCAACAGTCAAAGTTCAAAACCATGTTGTCTGCGCTACTGAATCACGTGTAAAGTTTTAATAATGTTTTTTTTTCTCATAACATAAGATTTAATAATGTTATACTAATAAAATAAATTATGTTGCACTTACACCTCGTGTGTTGTTGACTAGAACAATTATTGTGAAGAAAGAAGTTAAGTTTGGAGTGCAAAAAGATTGACTCATATGCTTGCCATGCTGGGGAGATCTATATTCTAGAGATTGGGCATCTGCATCTATATATTTACAAATATTGTGTAAAAGCATTATTATATTTATAGCATTGTGTATTGTTCCTGTCCATATACTACATGCTCTGTATTACATGTGTGACACTGAGAGAGGAGTCTAAGAAATTAGTGTATGGTTCAAAAGCAATTACACAAATTGAATACACTATCAAAAACTCAAAGTATATTGAATAAAAATATATCTTCATATGGTAAAACATTTAATTTACACTTGTGAAACCGACAGTATTATCCTACAATTTTATGCTACATCCGCTCTTGAGTATATTACTCCTTTAATTTTTTGTTTGTTGTTTTTGTAATAAGATAAATTTTAAAAATATTTTGCTATCAAAGAAATTATTGAGTTGAACTGTATATAAATTACTCTTTTAAAAATATTTTTGCAGTGTTGTTTAAAATTGTGCAACAGGATTATTGAATACAAAATTTGGAGAATAAAACAATATATTGCTACATTATTGCACTATATAAACTGTTTTAGAATTACACAATTAATTATGATATAAATATCACTCGTATTTTTAAATAGAATAATTTCTTAAAAAATGATTTTTTTTTTTTAAATCTGATTTGTCTTCAAAGAGAAATTTCTCGAAAGCTGTTTTTCTCCAAAATAATTTTGAAGGCAATAAATAAAGATTTGAAAAATTCGACGAATAGAAGAGTAAAAGAGGCACCAAAAATAATATTTTTGAAGGAAGGAAGGGGAGAGAGAGAGAGAAAAGAGAGAGAGGTGTTAAATTCACGCAGATGTTTGTAAAGTGGATGACACGTCAAATTTAAAACTTATATTTTTTTTTTAAAGATAAATTTTTTGGTATCAAAATAATAATATTTAACACAAAGTCATAAACCATATATATATATATATATATATATATATATATATATATATATATATATATATATATATATATATATATATATATATATATATATATATATATATATATATATATATATATATATATATATATATATATATATAGAGAGAGAGAGAGAGAGAGAGAGAGAGAGAGAGAGAGAGAGAGAGAGAGAGAGAGAGAGAGAGAGAGAGAGAGAGAGAGAGAGAGAGAGAGAGAGAGAGAGAGAGAGAGAGAGGTGTTAAATTCACGCAGATGTTTGTAAAGGGGATGACACGTCAAATTTAAAACTTATATTTTCTTTTTTAAAGATAAATTTTTTGGTATCAAAATAATAATATTTAACACAAAGTCATAAACCATAAGTTCATATCCAAACCAAATTGATCCGAGTTGTCTACATAGACAAGATAGGCATACACGCGTGCAGTGTTAAATTTCTATACCCTTTAGAACCACCCAAAGGCAACTAACTCTACATTACAAACACTTGTAAGATGTGAAATATTCTCAAATGTTAGACTAAATGAAAATTTTCAATTAAGAACCAAACACATATACTTAACATATTGTTCTCATCTTGTTTGTAACACCATTTAAATTTAAAAACAAAATTCAAAAGTAGCATCAAACACTTCTCCAAAGAAATGCATACCAAAATGTTCCATCATACTTGAACCTTTTTATAACTTCTAGGATTTAGATACAATAAGATTGATTAGGATATTTAACTCTATCTATGACATTAGACCTACACTCCATATTTTCTTCGGGTGTATTCTTACAAAGCTCTTGTTGTATCTGTCTTGCACGTCTATCTTAATTTAGTAATTACTCTAGGATTTCCCCCCGTGAAATTTCATATTAAATTATCCAATTTCCATATTCAAATATCAAGAATACTCTAGTAGTTGGGTACTTCACACTATATGAATTATAGAATTCAATTAGAGTTTCTATGATCTAAATCCTTCACGGTTTCATGAATCATGATTCTTTGATTTTTTTTATATCATGTTCATCTTATATCATTTCACAACTTGTTATTATCCCTTGAACGTAGTTTTTGAAATCTATATTTTTTTTTCTGAGTTACCATCACGAGTGACTCATGATTCTACGAAAATAAACTCATTCTTTTATATGTGTTTATTACTATTTAATTTTTTTCTCAAAGGGTTGACTAAATTTTCATCAGTGAAAGTTAATTCTCCAACTTGGCGTCGTTTGAACTTAAAAAATATTCTTAAAAGTGAGGGGCGAGCTAACCTGGTTGACCTCGTAGAGAAATCAGAAGAATGGCTCACGTGAGGGATGTGCAGAAAAACAAAAAATGGCTAGAAGATTCAACACCAGAGTTCGACCAAGAAGTTTTCAATAGGGAGATTTGGTTCTGAAAAAGATTACAGACACTCTAAAGAAGGTAAAGCTTTTCCCAAATTGGGAGGGACCTTACTGGGTTAACCATAAACTGAATAATGAATCTTACAAGCTAAAGAACTTAGAACAATTAGAAATACTGAGGGCTTGAAATGTTTCTAACCTTAGGTTTTATTATAGTTAAAGCTATTTAACGATAAATATTTGAATAAAAATTATGGGTAGTACTCTTTTTCCATGCAAATGGAATGGTTTTTAGTGAGACACCTTTTA